AAAAAAAAAAAAAAAAAAAAAAAAAAAAAAAAAGAACAGAGTCTATCTAGTTCAATTTGCTGAATTTCCCAATGAGGAAACAGGTTCATTTCATCAGCTCCTGATCACATATTACAATTTCACTTTCTGTACTGGTAATCCTACAAAGGCATGAGTCAACAGCAGTGTGGTCCACACTGATTGTCATAGAAACCTATCTTCCAAAGATCTCTGGGTATACCTTCTAACAAGGAAACATATGCTCACAGAGATTAAATGCTTTTCTAGATTATAACTAGTAGGCTCATAGTTACACAAAACAACCAAATGTGGAGCCTGTGTGTGTATGTTTGTTTGTATAGAAAGGAAGTAGAATAAGAGCTAAAAGGGGTATGGCAGTATTAACCCACTTTTAAAATTAAGATTCCTGAGTAAACATATATTCCCCCTTCTAAGAATAGCTACAAAAGAAACCACAATAATAACGATAGGTGAAGATTCTGATCACAGTATTGTTTAGTAACTCTAAAATGTACATGTGTAAGGACAAAGTATGGGACAGAAGAGGTAAGACAGGAACAAAAGGCTGCTATTGAGCCAACAGAATTCTGGTGATTTATTTTTCTACCTTTCCCAAACGTTCTTTTAACATGAAACAAAACAAAACAAAAACAAAAACAGAGAAGACAAAGAGTGCTTACCACGGAGACCTTGCTCACAACATCTCCGGCAACTGCTAAGCCTTGAGCAAAAGTACGGGCTGCTACAAATGCACGAGTAACCTGGAGCTTCAGTTTGCGAGGGACATCTCCGAAGGGCTTCAGCTGCTCCGTATACTTGCTCACACATTCCAGATACTCATCTGTAAAGTGGTACTGGGAGTTCACCAAGCGGAACATCCGCTCCAGGAGGCGAGCCCAGAAGTCATTTAGCATTTCTTCCAGGTTCACATTTCCCACCACGTAGTAACGCTTCAACTCTACGAAGAGATCTTTAAATAGCTCAGAATTTTGCATGTATAAATGGCCATATGTCTTCACAAACATATCATTCAGGGATTTCTCTGCATTTTCAAGTAGTTCTTTGAAGAATTCTAAAACCAACACCAAAAAAAAAAAAAAAAAAAAAAAAAACGA